ATTATTAAGGATGTTAAACAATTTCATGCAAACAGTTTTGGCAACTATGTGAAATACACATAGTTTTCAAAAACACCAATTCAGAAAACTCACATGTAAAAAAAATTTTTTTAATTACCCCGTATGTATTCAAAACATTAAATTAAAATTTCCCCCAGAGGTAACTAAGATAATTAAAATAGTTTCATTGATGAATTCTGTTAAATATTTGAAGAAATAATAGCATAATAATACGTTATTTCAGAAAACAGAGAAGGATCAAACACTTCCCAACATATTTTAAGAAGCCAACATAACCCTGATACCAAAACCTGAGTATAAGAAAAAAACCATTACAGAAGTGTAGTCCTAATTAATACAGGTGAAAAAAACCCTTAAAATACATACCAAATCAAACCAGAAAAATAAAATATGAATCAGTTTTTTTTTCTTTTTGTAACTTTGGTATCAATGAATCACTAAATCTTATCAGAGGAAAATATGATTGGTTGAACACTAGATAAACAATGAACCCTCACCCCCACCACCTATTTTATTCTCTGAAGCCAGAGGGATCCTATTAAGAACTGAGTAAGAGCACTTTCCTCCTTAGCAGTAAACCTTCTATGGCTCCCCCTACTCTCAGAACAGAGGCCCAGCTCCTCAGTCTGCTATTCCAAGGCTGACTCCTGCTCATCTGCTGTCTAGTCAGAATAGAAAACATAGACCCATGTTTCTACAAACCCTGCAGTTCAGTGCCATATCCAAGCATATATTTATGCTAGTTTTTATGCCTAACTGTATGTCACCTTAGAGCTAGGGCTAGGGTCTGGAGCTCACAGACCCCTCAAGCCCATTCACAAACCCTTCACATGCAAGTCTACCAGCTAGGTAGCCAGACAAAATGGTCCTTTGAGCCTTGGTTGAAGAATAAATAGTCTTTATTCAGCACACACAACACAGTACAAAGAGAAACTCAACTGCTACAGGCAAAGTCCAAAGAGAAACTGAAACTGAGCAGCTGCCAGCAGAGTAAACATGCTCTATTTTTAGATGCAAGCTCTCTGCCAGCCAGCCTGCTTCACAAACTGCAGAACACATAATAGCAATTAGCTAAAAAGATACATTGGTGCACATGTGCACTAACTCCACCTGCACACAACTTGTTTATGAGAAATGTGCTGCTGGGCCGGCCCATGGCTCACTCAGGAGAGTGCGGTGCTGAAAACACCAAGGCCCCGGGTTCGGATCCCATATAGGGATGACCAGTTCGCTCACTGGGTGAGCGTGGTGCTGACAACACCAAGTCAAGGGTTAAGATCCCCTTACCGGTCATCTTTTAAAAAAAAAAAAAAAAAAAAAAAGAAATGTGCTGCTCGATTCCCCAACCAGACTTGAGCTGAGCGAGCCTGACTAAATTGTTCTACTTTTCCCACATCACCTCTTCTGCACCTCATATAATTGTTGGCCTCAGTTCAGGACCATAGGCCAAGAGCAACTCACTTTTGTGGGTCCTAAACTCAAGGGCAGGGAGAAAGGAAGGTGAAAAGTCCTCAAACAACACCTCCCTCTATATCAGGCCACCAAGACCAGCAGAGCAGAAGTTCCAGTGGTTGAAGGCCCGAGACCTGTCCTCTGAGCTGTGCCAGGCCCATTAGTGCCTCCATCATCAGGACTCTGAGAACTTAGCAGGTACCTGGGCCCTCTGCCCTGCCTTAGTGTTGGGGCATGACCTCTGCTGTCTCTCACTCTGAATCCCAGTCTTCCTACTGTAAAATGCACATAAGGTCTGGGGCGTAGCCTCCAGGGACATGGAGGAACGAGGGCCGGTGCAGAGACCCCAGAGGATGCATGGCTAGGAGAGGCTTACATGGCAATCAAAGTATTCATTTTTTCCCAAGGTATTCTCTTCATTTTTTTCTTCATTTTTCCTGAGGGGTGAAGAGGCTACAAGGCAGAAGTCTTGCCTAAGGCTACAAGGCAGAAGTCTCACTCTGAGGATGAGGCTTTGCCCAAGGTGGCCACTGGAATCTGGGCATGGTCCCTGATTTCAGAATCTTAAAACCTTATTTCCAAGTGTCCCTTGCGGTGCTGTTTGGCCATGATCATAGATAATAGGAAGAGGTGCCCAAGCCTGGCAGGATGCACAGTCAAGACTATGTTACCCAGAAGGTGGTTCCTGTTCATGGCTGCAAGCATTCATCCAGTGACGACACCAGAGAGGGGTGTTTCCTGGGGCTTGCAGAGATGGGGGCGGGACTTCTGATGATGCTGTCACTGCTGTGGTGGGTTTGTTCAGCTCTGTCGTGAGACCTCAGCCCTGGGATGGGACCACTTCCAAGGAAGCTTTTAGGAACTAAGCAGAAAAAAACAAGGGCAGAGAATAGGATCCTCTTCTGGATCCCTGCCCTGTTTTGCCATGTGACCTCTGCTGACTCTCACTCCAAACCTCAATCTCCCTCCTGTAAAATGCTCATATGGCCCAGGGCATTGCCTCCAGGAACCTGGAGGAAGGAGGTGCGGAGGCCCCAGAGATAGCACAGCCTGGTGGGTGTCACAACTTGTACAAAGGTGGCTTCTACTGATATTCTATTGCCCAAAGCTTATTTACATGGCCCAATTTAAGTGTAGAAGAAGCTGGGTGTCCAGAAAGAGAAAATTGGATGGGAGAGCAGCTACCCAGTTTCCAATACAAGCCATCAATTTGGTAACCAGACACCCATTTTATTACTACTCCTACATGTTCAGCACTATTACCCTTTGGGTGATAACCCCAAACCCCATGCCTCCATCTCAATGTTATTATTTCTGTTCATAATGTAACCTAAGGCCAGGAGACTATAAACTAAGGTATTTGTTGCCACACACTTGTAATTACTGTTCTTGAACACAATGGAAAGATCTATTCAAAAACATGCTAAAGAAAATATCTTCCAACTCAGATTTCTATACACAGCAAATGTTTCTTTCAAGAGAGCATGAAATAAAACTATTTCAAGTCAAATTGAGAAATTTAATGGATTAACACACATAAAATGAAATCCTAAAGGATGTATTTAAGGCCTTTGAAAAGTGATCCCGGATGAAAAATTTGCAATGGTAGAAGAAACAAGGATCCAATAGGTATGTATGTGGATTGATACAATTATTTGAATAAAACATGAGTAACATTTCCCTGTGGGGTTGAAATCCCACGAGAAAGGAGGTGCTCAGTTTCCATGGGCTCAGGTTACAGTACACACCTCTGGGTTTGAAGCTACTCCCAAAGGACTGAGATCCCTCCCCTAGGACCCTCCTTAGGGGTAAGTTACTGTTGCTAGTTAGACCTATTTTCAGCACCAACAGGGGGAAATTGAAACCTCAGGGGCTGGCTTATGCAAATCCAGTTGCTGGGCATGCTCAGTAGACAAGAGTTCTATAGCCTTGGTAGCTGAATGACCTTCCACTAGAGGTCCTAGAGAGCACAGAATATTCTTGATTATGTCTGGTGCGTGTGATAGGATTTGGCCAATGAACATGCTCCAAAAAGAGACCAACTGAGGATGTGCAAGACTATGTTACATAACTGGGAACCACCCCATCAATTGAATGTTCATTAGATAGAGAAACTATAGAAGCCCAATCCCAGCAGAAGGTGGGGTTGTTGCTACTCACTCTCCTGGGGCCAACCCACACTTTGTCAGCTGAGGTGTGTGTGTTTTACTTTTGTGTTAAACTTACTTTTAGCAGGTGGCTGCTCACTCTCTTGAGCCAGCCTGCACTCTGTAATGAACTTTAAGTATGCATTTCTTTTGGGTTAAACTTGGTGTGGGCCCTGCTCAGTCCCTGGAGTTTGCCACATTCTCTCTGTGAAATCTGTGTGGCAATGTTGGGAGGTGGAGCCTCATGGGAGGTGTGTGTGTCATGGGAGCAGATCTCTCATGAATAGATTGATGCCCTTCCTTGGTGGTGAGTTCCCACTCTGTTAGTTTGTTGTTAAAAGGAGCCTGACACCGTCCCTCCCTCTCTTGCTTCTCCTTCACCATGTGATTTCTATACACTATCTGTCATAAGTGGAAGCAGCCAGAGGCCTTTGGAAGATGTATTTGCCAATTTGTGGACTTTCTAGCCTACAGAAATGTGAGCCAAATACATCTCTTTTATTTGTAGATTCCCCAAGTCTCAGGCATTCTGTCATAGAAACTCAAAACAGACTAATACAGCTCCCTTCCCTGTGTTCTCAGCCCCATGTGACATCCTCTCTGAGAGCAAACATAGTACAATTGTACCATTGTTACTGTCCTCTCTGGCCTCTACTTTAGCCCTTCTGCCCCCTGTTCCAGATCTCCTCAAGGGCTTCTCTTTAAAGGTGTCAAGAGTCCACAGACCAGCAACCAAAACCAAATGGAAACCTGGGTTTCAGAAAGCAGAGACACTATTTCTATCTTCCTTTGCCTACTAGCGCAGTGATTTTGCTGTATATTGGCATTACTAACAGGCCTCTTTTGTATATTGTATTCCCTTCAGGTGACAAAGCAAAAACCAAGACCACACAGCCTACTTTTTTTCAGCCAGTCTTGTTTGAGAGATCCTCACTCTGTGGGCCACTTACTCAGGAAAACTTCAATGGATCCAAGTTGGGGAAGCCACAGAACAGGAAAGATGATCAGAAATGCAGAGAAGGCACTGGAGGATAAAGACAGTCACCCACAAGGAGAACCTCACTGGAAAGGTGAGCCCTGATTGTGGTGATTTGGGAACAGGTGACAGTCTGTGCTCAAAGGATTTACAGGATCAAGTCTCTCCAGGTGGAACACTCCATGAGTGTGGTTCACATGCATTGGGGAGAGACCCTTTGATTTATGGAAGGAAGGACACCTCACTGGAAAGGTGAGCCCTGATTGTGGTGATTTGGGAACAGGTGACAGTCTGTGCTCAAAGGATTTACAGGATCAAGTCTCTCCAGGTGGAGCACTCCATGAGTGTGGTTCACATGCATTGGGGAGAGACCCTTTGATTTATGGAAGGAAGGACTCTTACAAATGCAAGTAAAATTCTACAAATGCAACAAGTTTGGGAAGGTCTTTCTCAGTAATTCAGACCTCACTGAACACTACATTATCCACTTTGGGGAGAAGCCCTATGGATGCAGTGAATGTGGAAAGGCCTTCAGCCACAGGTCACACCACACAGAGCAACAGCAGGTTCACACTGGGGGGAAACACTATGAGTGCATCGAATATGGGAAAGCCTCCAGCCACAAGTCACACCTCACGCAGCACCATCGGATTCACAGTGGAGAAAAGCCCTATGTGTGCAATGAATGTGGAAAGGCCCTTGTTCAAGATTCTGATTTTATTTGGCATACTAGAATCCACAGTGGAGAAAAACCCTTTGATTGCAAAGACTGTGAGAAAGTCTTTCATGACAGCTCTTCAGCAACTTCACACATGAGGTGTCACCCTAGGGAGAAGCTCTATGGGTACAGTGAATGTGGAAAGACCTACAGCTATAGCTCAACTCTTAATGAACATCAAAAGACTCATAGTGGAGAGACCAAAGAGAATCTCAAATTGCTAGGGAACTTCAGGGCATGAGAGGATGGTGGGGATGTGGACAGACATGCAGGTAGCATATAGATCTTCAAGGTTTTGAGGGTAACAGTGAGGACCACTATTGCCCCCCACTGAAACTCTTGACTCAATATTACTCCAGTGGTCAGTTTTGCATCCTCGTACCATTTAATCTTGCAGGTTTATTGCATAAAATTGGCCAATATTTTGTTCTCCAAAATCGTTCCTAGCAGCCTAGATATGCCTTGAGCTCCAGAATCATACTATTTCCAACATTTTGTCCAAACTCTTATTTTGCTTCTCTGGTAGGCATCTTAATGTACTCGTACTGAATTGTTTTACCAAACATTACCCACATGACTTGCCTTAGTCTTTTCATATCTATGTGTAACATCACCATGTTGCTAGTTGTTTGCAAAAAAGTAATCATTTTTTATCCTTGATTCATCATTTTCCTGACCATTTATCACATGTCTCCTTCAGTTCTAATGAAACATCAAGTTAAAATTAGTCGTTGTTCTAAATATAAAACCTGAAACCTTAAAACATCTAGAAGAAAACATGGGGTTAAATCTTTGTGACTGGTTAAATAAGAATTTGTTAGACACAATACCAAAAGCAAGACGGCAGGAGAAAAATTGATAAATCTGACTTTCTCAAAATTTAAATCTTATCCTTTTCAAAAGACACTGTTGCTCTCTTGCTCAGCCATTCTCCAAGTGATACCCTGTGTCACTGTGGAGAGTCACCACCAAGAAAAAAGCCCTCACCAGGGTTTCCAGTCAAGATGGCAAAATAGATGGTCCCCCGCATCACTCTCTCACAAATCAACTAATTTACATCTACTAAAAAGCAACTAGTGCTCAAGAGAAGTGGAGGAGAGACCTATGGAGTGCATGAAGGCCAGAGAAGGCACGATGAGAGAAAGAAAAAACCTTTCTGACCATTGCGAGCCTCAGCCCCTTCCACGCTGGAGCTGCTAAGTGCTCAGAGCAGGAGCCGGCAAAAGTTGCTCCTTCAGATGAAGTTGTATGGAGGTGGCAGGGGAGAAGAGGTGGCCCCCAGACCAGCAAGACCACTAATAGGGTTCCTGTAGACCCACATGAAGTGAGGAGCCACAACAACTGAAAAAAAGGAGCCACTCAAAGGCCGGTGAGTCATTGCAAAGGACCGCATACAGCCCATCCCATGGGAAGTGTTTGCAGCATGGGTTGTGGGGGAGATGGGCCCACCGGGAGAACACTGGGACACAGCAAGGACAGCTGATCTGCTTCCCAATCAGCATAGGACTGCTCAAAGGAGACTGGTCAGGAATGTAGAATTGCATGGGGTGCAGTCTGATGAAAAGACTCAGGCCCACATCAGTGTTTCTACACAACCCAGGTGCATTGGATTTCACTAAACCTGGAATTCCTATAGTGTCAACCATTAAAACCTGAGCTGCACAGGGCCGGCCCATGGCTCACTTGGGAGAGTATGGTCCTGATAACACCAAGGCCACGGGTACGGATCCTATATAGGGATGGCCAGTTGGCTCACTTAGGAGAGCATGGTGCTGATCCCCTTACCAGTTATCTTTATTAAAAACAAAAACTGAGCTGCACAAAAAGCCTTCCCCAGGGAATCAACAGCAAAGCAGCCATTTGGCTCAACCACAGAGCTCAAGTACTGGTCCCCACAGGAAGTTCCTCCACTTTGGAAATAAGCAATGGACAACAAATTAGTTCCAGTGCAGAGTTTAAGTGGTGGGAACAGCAAATAATCCTACACAGAACTGAAAGAAAAAACAGAGTAACCACAACCAGAGACAAAGTTTGATATTAACTAATAAAGGTCTCATTTCAGCAAAGAACACCTATAACATCTAGAAGGACCAGAAATCTCCTGGGCTACCAAGCCAGAAAGGGAGGACAACCAGGCACACCCCTAGCACCATGGGGTCCACCCAGGGTCCTGAGGTATGGAGCTTGGGACCAGACCCTCTTCCCACAGCCAGGCACACTGCCAGCACCATGGGGCCATACCCTCCTCCCACAACCAGGAACATCACCAAAACCATAGGGCCTGGACTCTCCTCCCATAACCAGGAACCCTGCCAGTACCATGGGGCCCACCCAGGGACCTAAGGTATGAAGCCAGGGACTGGACCCTCCTCCTACAACCAGGCACACCACCTGAACCACAGGGCCCAGACTCTCTTCCCACAACCAGGCACACCACCAGCACCTTGGGACCCACCTGGGGTCCTGAGGTATGGAGTGGGGACTGGACCCTTTGCCCACAACCAGGAACACTGCCAGTGCCATGGGGCCTTCCCAGGGTCCTGAGATATGGAGCCAAGGACTAAACCCCTTCCCACAACCAGGTACACTGCCAACACCACCTTGTGTTAATCTCAAGAAACATCACCTCCATGTGGGTGGCCCACCACAGCCACCACAAATAACCACAGCTGCCATGAAAGCAGCTAGATGCCACAACCACCATGCAGATGGTCTGCCAGCCACTGGAGTGCATTGACAAAGGAGAGTCACCAGCAGAGACCAAGGAAAAGAAGAGGATGTCTCTCTCCACAAATCTTATTCCAGAGTGACAGAAGAAGCATCTGCTCTACAATAATACTGGGGGACCTGACCACACCTTTCAGCACTGGACAGATCATCTAGGCAACAAACCAACAGAGTAACCATTACTCTTTGAGAAAGAGAGACAAAATCTAGGGTAATTACAGGGAGGAGAGGGGAGGAAGAGGGGAATGGGGAGAGATTGGACAAGGAGCATAAAGAATAAGTATGATTTGTAACAATATATATGCTAGAAATATTGATTTGATCAGCATATGTCAATGTTGAACCCCCAAAATATGTATAATCTATTACAATTCTGTAAAATTTCAAAAAACAAACAAATGAACAAAAACCCAAAAGACACTGTTAAGCAAAAGAATGAAGATCAGATAGAAAATATTTACAAATCACATATCTGGTAAATACTTGTATGCATAATATATAAGGAACTTTTGAAACTGAATACCAAGAAAATAAATAACTCAATTAAAATGCATAAGAGATTTGGACAAATATTCCTAAAAGAAGAAATATCAATAGCAAATAGCATATGTAGTGTTGTTCAACATCAATAGTACAGAGGAAAATGCAAATGTAATTTAAAACCACAATGAGAGCCGGCCTGTGGCTCACTTGGGAGAGTGTGGTGCTGATAATGCCTAGGCCATGGGTTCAGATCCCTATATGGGGATGGCTAGTTAGCTCACTTGGGAGAGCGTGGTGCTGACAACACCAAGTCAAGGGTTAAGATCCCCTTACCAATCATCTTAAAAAGAAAAAAAAAAAAAAAACCACAATGAGATACCACTACATACCAATTACAAAGGATATAGTTTTAAGAACTGACCATACAAAGTGTTGACAAGGATTTCTGGGATTGCAAAACGGATCAGCTACTTTGAAAAACAATTTGGCAATTTCTTATCAACATAAACATACACTAAACATACTACCCAATAATCCAGTTCCTGAAAATTTACCCAAGTGAAAGAAATACCTGTATTCATATAAAAACCAGAAGTGAATGTTTATAGTGTGTTTATTCATAATCTCCAAAATCTGAATTTTAAAAAACCCTCAGCTGGATAATGGATAAACAAACCATGTTATATCCCTGCAATGGAATAGTACTCACAAAGACAATGTGAAGTACTGATAAATAAAACAACATGGAAAATCACAAATGCATTATGCTATATGAAAGAAGCCATACAAAAAAGGCAGCGGGCTTTTTTATTCCACTTGTGTTAATCTCAAGAAAAGCGAGTCTCCAAAATTCTAGGTATAGAGATCACATCAGTGTTTATGAGGGGTGACAGTAGGGGAAGGGATCAAGAATAAAGAGGCATGGGAAAAAATATGGAGTTATCAGGATTGTTCTAAATCTTTATTTTTGGGGTTGCTACATGATAGTGTTTGCTGTCGAAAGTCAAAGAACAGTAGAAAATGAAGGGTGAATTTTACAGCATGTAAACTGTACCTTTTTAAAAAATGAAAAGATATTAAGTGGCAAATGGGTGATGGACCTTATTGTATGTACAGTGGTTTAGAAATGATTTTCTAAAATAGTGACATTTGGTCTATGACTTGAAGGCAGTGGGTAGTAGTATGTACAGTACAGGTTTAGAAATGATTTTCTAAAATAGTGACATTTGGTCTATGACTTGAAGGCAGTGGGTAGTAAGCACTACATTTAGCTGTCAGGGAAAAAGCAGTTCAGAAAGAGAGATCTGAAATTAAGCTTGCTTCCAAAATATCAAGCAGTCCAACAAGGCCTGTGTGGTGGCAGCGGGTAGTAGAGTAGGTAGAGAAAATTAGTTGTTGTATTCCAACAAAACCATGTAGGGTTTGTTAGGCCATGGTGAGGACTGAGGCTTAACACAGTGAAGAATAAGTTTGAAGCTTTGGAAAGGGAAATGACATGGCTGGATTCAGGATAAAACTGTCATTCTGTTCTCCCACCACCCTCTCTTCTGGCAAATGTGGCCTCCTTCCTGTTCTTTCAACTCACCTAGGTTTTTCTTGGCTAATGTCTTTGACGCTTGCTCTACTCTCTGCCTGAATAGTTTAAAATTAGGTCTCTTGAAAGCTGGTTTATTTTCATTTTTCTTGTCTTAACTCATCATCACTACCAGAGGGAAGCCATCCATATCCAACTAGAGAAGCACGTGTCATTCTTTCCTCAGGTTTAAGCTTTACCCTTGACTCAGCCTCCATTATCTCAAGTTCTGCCTCTCTTCTTTCTCGTTATTTCTACTGTCACATTTAGAGGAACTTCAGAGTAGCTACCTAGGGGTTGGTTGTATTAGGTCAGTGAGACAAAAGGATCAAAGGACTCTGAGCCAAGTGCTCACCACATCAGGGAGTTTATTTCCAGGAAACCTGGAGGGGAGACTGAAAGATCAGTTCCCGCCCTCATACAGACTAATAGAGGTTTTATAGAGTTTGAATTAGGGG